AATTTTTGACATGCTTTACTAGGGGTTTTGTGTGTGTGTGTGTGTGTGTGGTATATTTCACTGTTAGAGTTTTTTTCACCCTTTTTGACACACCGTTTTTCAACATTCCCATATTCCAATTGATGCAAGACGGAAATTAAAGCGACTTACCAAGACCATTGTGATACAAAAAATCTGATTTTTCCCAAGTAAAAAAGTCGAAATCAACTCTGTTTGTGTATACCTAAAAAACTGTGAAAGTTTTGTACTCGTTTAGATGATAGGCTTTCAGTCCGTTTAAAAGAAATCCGATAAATAAAATTTTAAAGGGCTTCCACAGGGTTTGAGGGATTGAAACAGAAAAATTGAAAGGAATAGCAGAAATTATACAAAAAGTTTTAAAAACAGAGCTGAGTCTAAAACTTCTAGACCCTTTATGCATGCAAGTAAAGAACCCCCCCCCCCCCCCCCCCCCCGAACGAGTTTTATCGGGACAACGTTTCGCTTGTGAAGTGATGTATGAGTGATAAAAATCCTGGAGGGCGAAACTTCTCTCAGATCAGGAAAACCTAAAGTATTTTGATCTAAAGAGAAGTTTCGCCCCCCGGATTTTATCACTCTTACAGACCCCGAAAAAGGGGGCATGCTTTTGTGGAACTTTTTAAAGTAGTAGTAGTAGTGTAAAAAAAAATTTTTGTAGTACACACATTTTGTGCGCTTTTAAAGCCATGGTCACCTTGTGAAGGCTTTTGAAAAGTTTTGTATTTTACACCTGCATTCTTTTTGTTTTTTTAGCCCTTTTAGGCCTTGTCGTGTGACCCAAAATGTTGAGACAGCGGGAAAGCGACTGTTCAAAACCTATGTTGCCCTGGGTTATGAAAATGAGGGGTTTCTAGGATGGGTGGTGATTTTGTTTCCCTTAGGCCCTTTCAAAGATTTTTATGATATGGGATGTTAGTGCAATCGGTCTTTGTTTTTGGTTGTTTACTCCCCCCTTTTGTGGAGTGGGGTATGTCTGTTTTTTTTATTTAACTGGGGGACGCCCCCCGTGTCCTTGCTCCCCCCCAAATAGGATGGAAAAAGGCTCTTTGGATAGGGGCTTTTTGCATTTCTTGATGAAACGGATTTTCCATGAGGGGGCCCCTGGGGCAGAGTGCAGGGATGTCTTTTATGGGCCTTTCGAAGTCATTTGGCGTCAGGATAACATCAGATGGCTTGTGTTAACCAAATTCTGTGGCTCCCCCCCAAAAACTTTTTAGTTCTTCGACTCTCATTTGGGTTTTGCGGCTCCCAAAATTGAGTATTTTGGGATTGAGTAGTCAATTTCCCCTTGTTTTAATCTGTGTGGGGCCCCAAATCTTTTTTAAAGTGGGGGCCCCAATTTACGGGGACGTTGTTCTGATTTTTGATTTGCCATAGGAAAAGAAATTATTTTGGGGTTTTTTTCGTTTCATTTAGGCTTTTAGTTTTTCCCCGCGATTCCTGACTCCTATAAGATTCCTTTAGCTTATGTTCGATGCTTGCTATTTCTCTGCCCCGTGTCTCCCTATGCATTTCAGATATATTGACCCCCCTTTTTGCCGCCCCTTTTTTTTTTTCCCCCTCGCCCGTAAAGGGGGCGCCCGTCTCTTTCTATTTTACATTACTCCTCCCTTTTTTTTGGGGAATAAGCCTTGGGGATCATCAGTGCCCCCAAGGGTTTAAAATTTAAAATTAAATAATTTCTTGTTGCTTAAATAAAATCTTCCCAGCTTATTTTCGGTTGGACTTGGGTTTTCTTGGGCCCCCTTTTGTTTTTTTTTTTGAAGTTGAAAATTTGGGGAAAGTCCCCCTGAATAATCTCATTATGTCGGTCTGGGGTCCACGAAAACATGTTTGAACCTAATTAAAGTTTTTGATCTGGGGTATATTGTTTTTTTATTTGGTCACATTTTTTATTAGGTCATCATTTTTTAAATGAAGATGGGGGCTAGTGTATTTTTAGTTTTTTTTTAAAGGCTCTAATTTGCTGGTTTTTTAAAAAAAATTTTGTGCTGATTTAAAAAACTTTTGGGGAGTGTGAGTTTTTTTTCAGGCTGCCTCCCGGTGTTATTACTGCAAACAATATTATTTGCTATTTCCTCCATTTTTAGTGGCCCTTTAAATTGAAAAACCCCCCCGGAGCAAGATTTTTGGGTGCAGGATTTGGAAAATTTTTTGGGCAGTGCTCAAATTTTTTAAAAAGCCCGTTCCTGGAATTGTGGGGTGTTGGAATTTTGGAGGGGTTGTAGACTACCCCAAGGGGTAGGTTTTGGTTCTCGACCATTTCTGCAAAAACTTCCTACAACATTTTAGGCATTAAGGGAGTTTGTGCAAAAAAAGTGACCTGCAATTTTAAGGCCAAACCCCCCCCCCCCCTTTTTCCCGTTCATCTGTAAAATCTTTTAAAGGGTTTTAAACCCGGGATCCCTATTTTGTTGTCCAAGTGATCCCTTTAAAGTGGGTCTCAGGGGGAAAGCCCCGAACATTGGGCCCTTTTCCTTGCAAAAACCCGTCCCCGGATAAAAGGTATTTTGTTGTTTGTTGCTGGCTTTAGACCCCGTTATTTGCAAAAAAGAATGTCATTTAGATGGTTTGGGTTTTTAAAATATTTTAAAATATATATAATTTTATATTTTTTATTATATATATATATATTTTTTATATTTTAATTAAAATTTTATATATATATATATATATATTTAAAATACATTTTGTTAAAACAAAATTTATAATAAAATTTTTATTATATATTTATAAATATTTATATATATTTATTATTTTATATATTTATATATATATATCTGTATATTTTTTTAAAATTTATATATATATATATAAATATATATATAAATTAAAAAATTTTTTATATATATTTATATATTATACATATAAAATTTTTTTTATATATATATATATATATATAAAATATTTATATATATATATATATATATTTATATATATATATATATATTTATAATTATTTTTATATATTTATATTATAAAATTTTATATATATATATATAAAATATATATATATTTATAATTTCAATTTACGAACAGTTTTCGAATGGTGCAAAAAAGTAGAAAATTTCATAGGTTGTTCTGCAGACTTTTAAAACTTTAAAATGTCATCATCAGTGAAAAAATTTGTAAAAGGAAAAAAATTGCAAAATACATAAATATTTTCTTAATTGGTGTGACTGTAGAAGTTCGCGAATGGGAAAAAATGGGGGTTTTTCTGTAAGATCTGCAAATTAAACTCAATGGGAAATTTTGGTTTTATTTTCAGAAGTGATGCGATAAAATTTTGATTTTCCCAAATTAGTAACCTGCAAAAAAGAGCATTCCTGAAATTTTTGCACTCGGGAAAAACTAAAATTGGAAATCTGCTGAAGTCAGTATCATTTCCCCCCCCCCGGGGTTTAATTGCTTTCCCTATGGAAGGTTTTTTACATTTTCATGAATCAAGGAAAATGATTTCATTTCGGAAAAATTTTTTTAAAATTTTGGGTTTTTAATGTTTATTGAAAATCGTATACATGAAGCTCAAATATTATCCCAAAATTTTTAAGCAAATAAAAAATGTGAACATGTTAAAATAAATTTTTAAATTTAAAATTTGGGAAAAGCCCTCTTTTTTTTGGGAAAAAATTTAAATTAATTGTTTGTTGTTTTTTTCTGTTAAGATATTTGGGTTTTTAAAAACATAACATTCCTTTAAATTTTGTTTAAAAATTTTATTACAATTAAAAAAATTTCTACCCCTACAGTTTTATGTTAAAAAAAAAACAAATCACTATTCTATTTCGAGTGGCATTAAGTAACTAATAATAATAATAATAACTCCTGTTGTAAAAAAAGGCTGTTTGAAGTTGAATTTCAACCACTTAAGATCATGTATGTTGCATCTGCTCGTTTGTTGCTACATTTCTTGGGATTCATATTGAAAAGATTTTTTTTAAAGAAATCCCTGTATTCAGATTTTTTCCTTTAGGAAATTAGGGGGAATTGAGATGGATGTTGTAAGTCGCCTTTTATTCTTACTAAATATACTGCTACTCCTGCAAAACTGGGAGGAAAATGTAATAGTTGAATGTACATTAGTTTAAAAAATTGTCTGATCTACATTGTGATCGACCCAATGTATTTTTAAACAATTATGCCTAATTAAGACGCCAATTTTTCTTATTTATACTGATTTGTAATACAAGAAAGATACTTCTCATGTTTTATTAAGATTATTATTTTTATTATTGTTTTATTATTATTATTATTATTATTATTATTATTATTTTTTATTATTATTATTATTATTATTATTATTATTATTTTTATTATTATATTTTTTATTTTTTATTAACTTTTTTAAATATTGATATAATTACCAAAAATTATTAAAATTTTTAATTATTAATATATTTTAATTATTTTTAATTAGTTAGTACATATTCACATAAGAATTAAACGTACTGTAGACTGTACAGGATTTTTTAACCTTAGCAGCTGCATAAAATGACTGTGGTTTCAGAACATAAAGAAAAAAAAATATATCATATGTCATATTTCGAAAAAATTAACATGTTCTCTTAAATCAAATTATGATTACCATAATTGAAAAATTATCTGCTATTAGGTATTTAAAAATTAATTTTTTGTCAATTATATTTTTTTAAGACACTCATTTAAGAAAAACATTGTTACAAGCAAATATTTTGTTGTTCCTGGATGCCTTAGTAAAAAGAAAGGTTTTGGGAATAATGGCTGCCATTGTATGTAATGAATAAAAGATCATTGGATCTTTTGAATGTTGAGTGTTGTCTGCAAGTGGCAGTGCAATAGTGACTGACAGGACACCCACTGACAAAAAAACCATGGAGGAGGATCAGCATAAACATCAGCTTCTTCAGATATCTGTAGCGATAGCGGGAATTCACTTTGTAGTATGATGGAATAAGAGAGTGGGTAGGTAGGTTCAGCTTCTGGCTCTGCAGATCTCCTGTAGCGGTAGTGGCTTTTCACTGAAGGGTAGGATGGAACTTTGGGTACCGGGGGTATGTAGGTTCAGCCTCTGGCTCTGCAGATCTTACGTGGCGATAGAGATTCAAGTGAGGGTAAGATGGGACATAGTAACGAGGGTATGTAGGTTCAGCCTCTGGCTCTGCAGATTTTACGTGGCGATAGAGATTCAAGTGAGGGTAAGAGGGACATAGTAACGAGGGTAGGTAGGTTCAGCCTCTGGCTCTGCAGATCTCTGATAGCGATAGTGTTTTATTCAAGTAAGGGTATGATGAAACGTAGTGAAAAGGGATAAGTTGGATCAGCCTCTGGCTCTGCCTTTTTTTTAAACCAGCATGATGACGGTAGGGGTATAATGTGGGCGCAGATATTTGGGGCCCGGGCTCCCGCATCTCGCTTCTCAACATCAGAAGCGCAAACGGCAGCCGCCAGGAACACAAACACCTGTATGTATTAGATAAAAATAATCACCATTACTTTAACTACAAAAATGTAAGGTGAATCTCTATGAAAATATTGCAATATTTTGAATGTGATTCATTAAAATTTTGAAAATGGCATAACTATTTTATAAACTCTTGGTCTTTCCAAGACTGCTTCAAATATTGAATAATTTGAGATAAAAGAACAACATGGAAAATATAGAAGTGGAAAAAACTCACCAAAAAGTTCATGTTTGAAGAGTATCAACTGTGGCCACAGCTGAGCGAGTGTGTCTTTCAGCAGAGACTCCAGGCTTTTATAGGTGAGTGACGGGGAAAAGTCCCCTTTGGGTTTCTTTTAGTTAATATAACATAATGCAATGTGGAATTATTTTTTTCTCAAGGTTTACCTGATAAATTAATCGTTAAAACGAAAACTGACAAAATTTCCCACAGACGATAATTAAAAAAAGAAATAATGTTGGGTAACTAGTGATGTACAGTGTATTCCAAAGTTTATTGAGTGTTATTAGTCACTCCGCATTTTTTAAAATGAAATATACTTATTTTTTATCTAAATATGAAAAGCAGATGATAACAATACTAAACATACTTATGTGTAGTTTATTATACATTTTTCGTTACAGGCTTAGATTATCAACTAAATAGAGCCCAAATGCGTAAAATTTTACATTTTTTTAATAACAGACAGAACGAGTGATTAGTAGCTTGAACTAATGTTTATCATGCATTAGCCTTTGCTAATATTTGCATTGCAAATTTTTAAAATTGTATTTTAAACATGATACCTATGTATTTTGCATTTTTACACACTAAGGAAAAAAGGAACAAGAACACTTTTTTAAAGCTATTGTACATAAACTTATGGAAGACGAGAAAAGAAATGCCAGTTGCAGAGCAGTGGACATAAACATCACGGAATGTTAGCAAAGAATTATAGTCCATTTTAACTTATATATGGTGAAAGTAGCAAGAGTGCTAAAAAAAACTCGAAAAACTGGATCATCCTGGAAGTCATAATAAACCACATCAAAGACCAAAGACGTTTAGGGCATTTGGGCATTCTCCTCCTTCTTTTTACCCACCTGAACTCATCCAACCCATTAATTTTATATACTTAGCAGTGCATAATTTGCATTCCATGAACTCGTGCTTCATTTCTGGATTGATACCTTCAATGTCAGTGTGGTCTATTTATTTTCTTAATATCTTATCCAACACCCTTTTCAAAGTATGCGAACCATCACAGAAACGCAGGATTTCTTAGAACTCTTGATATCGATTGTTTCTTTCATACATTTCACGTAAAACTTAAAAAAAAAATTAAACTTGAAAAACACAGGCCAAAAATAAATATGGATGAGAAAAAACATAAAATGCATTAAACTAGGAATCAGAGATAATTAACTGTTTTTTTTTAAGAGCTATATTAGCTAACGAAGACAATCATACAAATAAACACAGGCGAATAAAGGAAGTAAGAATTTGAAAAACTTATTTTTTTTTATTTAACATTTTTGAAAAAGGTAACCAACTTTTCCACCTTTTTCCCTTATGTCAAAAGTCATTTGTGGATATTAACGTTTTTTCAAGCATTGTGTAGGGAAAATCTGGGATTTGTTTTTTTTGTTAAATCTCGTGTGTTTCCCAAAAATTGTGGGTTTTGTTGGTGGAGAAATTTTCCATTTGTTTAAGATTTAAAAATTTTTGACGTTTTCAACACAAAATTTAAGAAATGACGGAATAAAAGGGATACGAAAAATTTGATCTAGAACTGTTTTCCCGATAAATGTCTGAATAAACATTTTAGTTCCCAAAAATTTGAAAGTTTTGCTCGTGAATGATGTATAGTGATAAAATCCGAAAAAAAACTCTTCAAAGGTAGGATTGTAACGAGATTTGGAATGCCCTCCAGGATTTTCATCACTCATACAGACACGAGAAAGGAGACATGCAGTAGTGGAACAATTGAGTAGTAGTAGTAGTAGTAGAAGTAGTAGTAGTAGTAGTAGTAGTAGTAGTAGTAGTATCAAGGTATCTAGTTACCCCTAGCCGTTTCTTCACCTCCTCGGTTATGTGCAGTGCGTCCAGCACTTGCTGGTGCACAGTACGACCTCAGTTTGCTGGAAACCTCTCTGTCTCCACCGTAAATATCATTTTCAATCGTGAGCTGAGCTCTTCACATACTTCCTCGTCGTTTCATGTGAGCTCCCCTCCTTTCTTCCTCAACCTGATTACTTAATCCTTGACTGTTGTTTTCCTCCTGATGTGGCTGTATAACAACATAGGGTCAGATTTGGCTTTTGATGCTATGTCATTCACGTATTGATGCTGGACTTCTCTGCTTACCCATGCATATACATTTCTGGCACTTCGACTCAACTCCGTTCTCCTGGGTCCTTTACCTTCTATACTTTTCCCATACTCTAGCACACTTAGCTTTGCCTCTCCACACCTGGTAAACCATGAGCTCACTCCGGTCTTCCGTTGTTTTTGTTGTCCTTTAGTACAAACTTCACTGTCTTCCCGCACTTTGTGGTCATGGGTTCCATCATTTCATTTACTGTCTTTCCCTCTAGCTCACTTACTCACTGCACCATATGTAGAAATTGCCTCATACTTGTGTAGTCCCTGATTTTGGAAGTCTGGCTTCTCCCGCCCTTATCGTGTTGCTTTATTCTCCATTCTTAGCTGTACTATGTGTGTGCGTGTGTGTGTGTGTGTGTGTGTGTGTGTGTGTGTGTGTGTGTGTGTGTGTGTGTGTGTGTGTGTTTGTACTCATTTAATTGTACTCACCTGTTTGTGGTTGCAGGGTTCGATACTCAGCTTCTGGCCCCGCCTCTCCACTGATCGCTACTAGTTCCTCTCTCTGTTTCCCGAGCTTTGTCATACCTCGTCTTAAAGCTATGTATGGTTCCTGCCTCCATTACATCACTTGCTAGGTTATTCCACTTCCTGACGACTCTGTGACTGAAGGGTGAACTGCGTTAGAAGAGCAGTTGGAAAACAATAAGAGAGAATAGGAACTAGATGATATAGTGAGCGAAGATCAGATTGTCACTGATGCTGGAATGGTTGTCAATGGTACTAGAAAGGTTGCCAGTGGTACTACAAAAGGCTGTCAGTGGCACTGGAACGATTATCAGTGGTACCGAAGAGATTGCCAGTAATATCGGAATGAAAGTCAGTAATACTGTAATGATTATCAATAGTATGAGAAAGGTCAGCTGGACTGGAAAGAGTGTCAGTGGTAATGGAAAGGACGTTAAGGTATTTGAATAGTTGTCAATAGTGCCTGAACAGATGTCAGTGGTATCAGAAATGCAATCAGATGTACTGAAAATATGTCACAGGAGCCGGAAAGGTTGTTAAATGCAGCGGTGTTAGACTCTCAGTTGTAGCAAAAAAAAAAATAAAACTAGTCAAAGGCATTGGAAAGGTTAACAGAGGCACGATATAAGTTGGCAGAGCTGGAAACGTTTTCAGATGCTCTCTCGAAGATATCAGGAGGCAATGAAAGAACATTGAGAGGATTATTTCCTGGAAAAATTATCCAGAGTGTTGAGGTTTCTGAGGCGATGCAAGCCTCTCTCCCAGCATTTCACCCAGCATTTCACCCTTCCCCAGATATTTTCTCCCCACCATTTGCAAGGCTGTCATCATCCCACATCTTCACTGCACCCACACATTACCTCCACACCCTCTCTTACAAGGCTGAAGACAACACCTTCGCTATCGGCATGAAATTAAGCATTATTTTTCTGTCGCATGAACTTCCCAACGAGGCCATTATGGCTATATTTATCTTAAAAGCCGCAGTTAAGCTCTTCCGTGTTAAGACGTGACTACCACACCACAACTCACAAGTCTTTAAAATGTTATTTATTGAAAAGAAGAGAGCAGATTACTATTATTATAATAAAAAAGAAGCGCTAAGCCACAAGGGCTAGAAAAGAGCAGAGCAACATTAGTTGCTCTGCTCCTTAAGTCACTGTAATCAAATTCTCTCCTCGAGACACAGAATGAAAGAATGTTTCTATACCCCTGGTTGTCTTCAAGAAGACACTGAACAGGCACCTAACGTCAGTACCTGACCAACCGGGCTGTGGTTCGTACGTCAGTTTGTGTGCGGCCAGTAGAAACAGCCTGGTTGATATGACCCTAATCCACCATGAGGCCTGGTCTCAGACCGAGCCGCGGGGGCGTTGACCTCCGAAACCCTCTCCAGGTAAACTCCAGGTAAAACCTTATTTCAAAGAAGTAATCAAATTTTATTCAACACAGAGATATACGATTAGAAACGCTCGTGTTCTTACACCCATTTACAAAAGAAAAGAACATTTTAACACCCTCATACAGAAATAAATGGCATTAATATACAAACGGCCACAGGGAAATGAGATTTACACACCTAACAGTGAAGGAAATTGAATCTTCAAGTCCCATACTGAGAGACATAAATAACATTTGCACACCAAGGCACAAAATGAAATGTTAACACAACTATGGGGCGTCGCATAATATTCCATCGTTATTCCCTAGATGAAACACAATGACTTGCATCATGAAAACTCAGCACCAATATATGAGATAAATAAAGATCCAAAACTTCGAAATACTCAGAACAATTTTTTTATGGTTCTTGGTATCATTCACTTTTAGTAGTACTGAACATGAGGTCACAGTTCACTAGGTACCTACAATTGGTACTCACTTCATGGAAATCCGGAAGAATAGATCTTGACAAGCGAAATGCTATGTAACACACGATGTCTGATGAGGTATGCGGGAAGCTCAAGTGGTT